GAGTGCTGCATGAATATCTACGGCGTAGGATCTACGGGCTGATTACCCGGTTCCGGTAACCAACTATCCTGTGAAGTACGGAATAGTGATTCCGGAAGTGCAGGAAGACGGCTTGCCGGTTAGCCGAGGGCGTCTCGTTCTATAATGATAATTCTAAGAGTTCCAGTAGGACTGAGATTGGAGCATTTTGTTAGGAAATGGGGCTTCAGCTAACTGTTAGGCTGCGGGACTACATTACCATATTTCAGGCCGAGAAGTTTATGCTGGCCAGGGCCGCCGAAATGGCAGTGGCGGATGGTGTATCAACTGGGGCGGTATCTTTTTACATATATAGCAGGACGACACCTGGGACACTGGGTTTCTGCACCGACAAATCTAGATTGGTGGGGAGGTGCAGGGCAAACTTAAGAGCCTTATGCGGGCCCTATAGTAGTGTCGAAGGAAACGAGGTGGCCGACAAACTGGCCAGTTCGGGGGCGGCGGCCAACATTGCGGCAATGGAATGGTCCGTGCTTCCGTCTGTAGGGGAGTTGAGGAACATTACGGATGAGGTATCTAGAAGAAAAGGAAACTTGCTTGGATATGGCGGGCGGATTTGTATAAGGACAAGAAAGCTGCTGGCACTGAGTAGGGGGGACTTACGTATTGCGGTAGGCATTTTGATGGGACACTGTTTATTGGGAAAGATGGTTCAGAGGATGGGCATCTCTCATCGGATATCTAACGGGGTGGTGGGGGATGTCCATCACGTGCGATTCGTGTGCAACCCTTTGATGCGGAGAGGGGAGCGCTTTCAAGACGGATATCGATTCGAATGGAGGAAACTGGAGGAGCTCTCGGGGGTGATCTGTAAAACTTTTTCAAGGAACTTCAATGGATTTAAATTCCACAACAAGTTACCCCACATATCCATCAATATACTTTTCTTGAGCCCAAACTTAACTCCACCACGAGCTACCTCCGGATTGCTTTCCATTAGTTCCACTAATTTTGTGAACTGATCCCGATTTGTTTTTTGAAACTACAAATTTGTAAATAATATATTATGCAACACTCTGGCAATATATTATGTCACCGGGTAGAGAGAGTAACTCTCATATTCTTTTATGATTTTTAAAAAAATGTATAGAGTTTATATGAAGAAAAAAAATTATCACCGTATTTTAGTCTTTTACATCTAAAAATCACAACAGAGTTTTGAAAATAATACCCTTATTATCATCGGCGAGTCGAATGAACATGGCGAATCGAATGATATTTTAAATTATGATTGGCGAATGCTTTCATTCGTCAGATCCAAAATGTTGCTACCGCCAGACTTCAGAAAATCTACCGAAAATAATAAGATTAACACCACAAAGGTGTACATTGCTTTTTATTTTTTGCAAAAACAATTGAATTTTTTTCTCCTTTAGCAATCCGGGGTTGTTGTCCATTAATTTATTTAAATGATCGAATTATTTTTGGCCCGCTTCTTTTCACACTTAAATTAATGCTAAACAATCAACATTTTTTAGAATAATTTGTAGAATTTTATGAACATACTTTACAGATAGTTTAGATTTTTCTATTATATCACTATAAATGCTTCAATATCCAATAAAAAAAACACTTATGTACAGTCAGTCGCAAAAGTGAGTAAACAGTAAAAAAAATTAATTTCAACTTAAAATTTTTTTGGTTAAATTAGATGAATGATCAATGTGATTTAGAAATAAAGTTTCTTTAATTCATCTACAACAATAAATAAAAACAAGAAATAAAAAAAAAAAATTTTTTTTAGAAATACTAAAAAAAATAACAAAACTGAAGCAAATTTTCGCCGCAAAAGTAAGTAAACACAATAAAATAATGATATGGGTGCACGGAGAAATTTCGCATGCACATGCAAAGATATTTACCGCAAGGTTTAAAAAACATTTGTTTTTGTTTCTTTTATTAAAATTTCGCACAACATTAGTATTAGAACAATTTATTAGTAAACGCCTTTAGATTAGGTTCGATATTTTTAAAATGAGAACTGAAACCACTATAGAAACCAGAAAAACTATTATTCAGATGCATCAGGACGGCAAATCTCTGAGAGAAATCGCAAAAATAGTTAAAAGGTGTCCTGCTACAATAAAAAAAATTGTGGACAAGTACAAAAATTTTCATGTTCTACAAAATTTCAAACGAATAGGCCGACCAAAAAAATTGACTGAGAGAGAAAAAAGAGAACTGGTAAAAGAAGTTAAGGCTAATCCCAGATCCAGCGCGGTAAAATTAGCTGAAAATATTAGTAGAGAAGGTTTAGAAGGTATAAGTGCTGATACAGTTCGCCGCGCACTACATGAAAGGGGTCTACATGGTAGGGTTCCCAGAAAAAAACCGTATATCTCAGAAGTCAACAAAATGAAACGAATACAATATGCTAAAAAATACAAAGACAGTGACTTTTCGTTTTGGAAAAAGGTTTTATTTACGGATGAAAGCAAATTTGAAATTTATAGTAATAAAACAAATAATAAAATTTGGAGAGGAAAAAATCAAGAGCTTATAGACAAAAATACGATCAAGACAGTTAAACACGGAAATGGATCAGTAATGGTATGGGGGTGTATGGGAGCATCTGGTGTCGGGAATCTTACTTTTATTGAAGGAAAAATGACGAAAGAAGATTATTTGAATATTTTAAAAGAAAATATTCCAGCTAGCATTGCAAAACTTGAATTACCGTGCTCTTGGGTCTTCCAGCAAGACAACGACCCAAAGCACACATCATATTTGGTGCGAGAATGGCTACTATATAACACACCTAAGCGGCTCGAACATCCCCCACAATCACCAGACCTCAATCCCATAGAAAATCTATGGGATTTTTTAGATCGCCAAATTCGCAAGCGAAAAATAACCAGTAAGGAGACCTTAAAAGAAGTTATCAAAGATGAATGGACGAAAATCTCACCTGATATAACTAAAAACGTAATTTGTTCTATGCCAAGAAGAATTAAAGCGGTAATAGAAGCTAAAGGAAGCGCTACTAAGTATTAATAATGTTTAAGAATAAAAAACAATGTTTAATTATAACTTTTGAAATAAGAATTTTTTTTTTGTTTACTTACTTTTGCGGCGAAAATTTAGTTAATTTTTCTTATTTATGTTAATATTTATGAAGTTTTTATTATTTGTTAAATTTTTATTTTTATATATTGTTAAGCATGAATTAAACGAAGTTTATTTCAAAATTACATTGATCTTTCATTGAATTTAACCACAAAAATTTGAAGTTGAACTTAATTTTTTTAGCTGTTTACTCACTTTTGCGACTGACTGTATGTATTAATTTGATTTTTCATTGGCCAAGCTTGTCACACGGAATATTCATTCGACAGATCTGACAGTCCATTTGCCAAAATTTAGGTGAATTCGCTAATCATAATACCAAAAATATATACTAGTCAAAAATTTCATTCGCTTCGCCGAATGAAATAATAAGCCTTACTCTAGTTACATACAAATTTCATTGGCTGACATTTCTTTCAAAGTAATTTTATATTTATGTGTATATAAAGCATAATAACCACATAAAATGCAATTTTGAGGTTTAATTTTGTTCTAAATGTGCATAATATTTTTTTTATAATTATAATTATTGTAATCTATATGTAATGACATATATGTCTATCAGGCCATTAAGCTGAAATTATTTTCCAAAATTTTGATTCGAAAAAAATTACAAAACAATTATATTTTTTTTTTTATTGTGAAAATTTTGAGTGTTTTTTATATGTTTAATTATAAAATATAATTCTCATTTTATTTAGCATAGTTTTAAAAGTCATCTCAAAAAAATTATTCAAAAATTTTACTGTGTAATATAGTATCCTTCCATTTGGAAGAAAAGAAAAGTTGACTGCGTTAAAGATGACAACTTTAGTATAGATCTATTTTCTTCACACAAATTAATTTCGACACCGCTTCTATTCAAACTCCATATAAATTTGGCATTTATTTTTGATTTACTCTCTGAGCTTGATGGCCTGATAGATATGAGTTTTCAGATGAGTTTTTTTTGTTATTTATTGAAATTAAATTGGAAGTGATATTTTGGGAAGCATGTTGGCAGAGTTTTCTTATACAGTTCAACACTTTTGGTAACATGTACGGGAATAACATGTTTTTTATTACATTATATAGTGTGAAACATGCATTACATAGAACCCTGCATATTAAAATAAAAATCTTCCTGGAGAATGTATAGGTAAACGTGATGTGATATTTTAATGATCTACATTTACGACGTATATTTGTAACGTAAAAACCAGCAACTAGCGAACAAACCTTGCTTTAATAATAGACGTAATAGACCATACATTAATGTTGGAGAATTAACAATATATTAAACCTTTGATATTTTCGATACATCGTCGGAAAACTATCGCTATATATCGATAGGTGCGTAATATGAAAACTCCATAATACAAGTCCCACGAAAATGATCGAATGCTTTTATTCATCAGATTCAAAATGTTGCTACTGCAAAACATTAGAAAACCTACCGAAAAATAATGAGGTTAACACCAAACATATGTACATCTTTTTTGCTTTTATTGCAAATACATGGAGTGTTAAATTTAAATTTCGAGTTTTGACATGTTCATCCCAAAGAGATTAAAAAAGATGAACTACTCAATGACAATTTCACGGAGTATTCATAATGCGTGGAAAAAACGAACATTACCGAAAAAAATGATAATAATTTTAAATTTCGTTAACTAAAACAGAAAATAGATATGATTTTATGTATATTATTAATAATTGTGTACATATATATTATGGAATTCGTAAAATGCAATGAAATATTTATACGTTCCTGTCAAATTTCCCTTTAAAAAATTGAAAATACGTTAACAAGATTCTAAAAAGTTTATCTAAAGATAATGTTATGTAGACTTTAAAAAAACTCGATAGTTTCGATATTTAAGAGCTATCAATAATAATGATAGTACAATCGTTAGTTCCGTACCTCTACCATACGTGTGTATTCTAAATTGAAAGTTTTTATGGAAAAAAGATTTTTTGAAAAATGTATTTGCACTTATTAAATACATGTACTTATTAATATACGTACTTATAAAGCATAACCAAATATTGTCTTGTTAAATATAGTTAACCATAAAATTTCTATTGTGTAAAACAAAATCTCCGCTTGAATTTTGTAGTGCGTACACATATTTTTAAATTTTTAGATTTGGTATCCATAAATACATGTAACATGGTACATTCATACATTATGTACATGTAGATATGTAATTGTGTAAACTATATACATAAATACATATTTTGTATGAAAAGCCAATGTATGAAACAGAAAATTATACTCGTTTTCAAAATCAATACATTTAAAAACGGTTAAAATGAGCTTAGTGGGTAAAACACCATTTCAATCAGGAGACAGATTAGATATTTTAAATTCACCAACAAGTTCCGATGAGAGACAATATATAACCCCAGAAGATGTGTTACGTTTAACAAAAATAACTGAAGATTATTTATGCCCAACAGATGCTAATATATACGACATTGATTTTACAAAATTCAAAATACGTGATTTGGAAAGTGGAACCATTTTGTTTGAAATTGCGAAGCCTGTTAACGACCAATTTGGGTTGACATCTGCACACCAAAACTTGCAAGGTGATTTAGAAAAAATCATCGAACAGGCAACTAAAGCAACCGAAGATTTAACTTTAGACGAACCTGTAGATCATAATTCTGGTCGTTATGTGAGATATCAATTTACCCCTGCATTTTTAAAATTGAAGACGGTCGGAGCGACGTATTTTAGATAAAAACATTTTTTTATTTTTGATTTTAACATATATATCTTTTAGAGTCGAATTTACTGTTGGGCAAAAGCCCGTCAACCGCTTTAGAATGATTGAGAGACACTTTTTTCGTGATAAACTTTTGAAAACCTTCGACTTTGAGTTTGGATATTGCATTCCTCATTCGAAAAATACTTGTGAGCACATATATGAGTTTCCGAATTTGCCTTATGATTTAAGTAAGTAACGTTACATTTTTATGTACATATAAATTAATTTGAAACAAATGTTTTGGTACAACTTTCCTTAAAAATCTTGACCTCCCGTCAAATATTTAAATCCATCATGGTTTTAAAATAATAGACATATTCTAATATGGGAAAAATAATAAATATTTTGGAAAAAAAATTATTTTCGTTTCGAGTTTTTTTTAGGCAATAACCAAACCATTTTTATATTAGAACGAAATTTAGAATTTTCTGAAATTCGAATTTTAACTATAGTTTTGACCAAGAATAGGGTTTTTCAGTTTTCCGTTTTTTTTTTAACCATATCAGGCAAGATATCCGACAGAATTGCGAGTGAAAATTGATAACACACTGAATAAAAAACAAATTAGATGTTGTATTTTTTAGTCTGAAATAAGCAACATAAAATACAGATAAAATTTTATTAGACTTAAGTTAGAATTTAAGTAAAAAATATAAAGAAACTTGTGCAAACTTTTAAAGTTCCTGCTGTGATAGGTTAGGTAAATCTGTGAGTTAGACTAACAATGTGATTAAATATTTCCCAATATTTAACACATTTTCTAATTTTAACTTTATATTATTTTTTAACTACGAGAGATAAAGCAAATATTTAAAATATTACGAAAAGCGGAAAAAGTTCTTATAACATTAAATACGTTAAAAAATTCTTTAAATTATATATTAAATAATTAAGCTTTTTTAAAAAGTATCACTTCCAGTATCCGAACACAAAAATTTAGTTGCTGAACACTTTTATTCTAGTATTCGAACACACAAATTTTCTTGAAATATAAGGTGCTTTTCTAGTAAAAAATTAACGAAGTAGGTTTTATTTTAATATAAATTTTATTATTTAAATATGCTAATTAAATTTGTAGTGAAGAAACATTTTGCTAATGCAAATAGATACAGTTTTTTTTTGCATAAATCACCGGTAAATTCAAAAAAAGGAATAAAATATTAGTTCAAATTCAAGAATAAAAACTAAAATAACGAATTTATTGCATAATAAAATATAGTTTTAGTAAAAATAGATTAAAAATAAATGTAGTCTTAAAACTAATTAACATCATAACGAAACTTGCAAACATAGTCTTTCTCCGATGCCATTTCATATTCAACTACAGCCTCCGATGTGAGTTTAAGTTTTTGAAACTATCCAATAAGGTTATCATAACCAATATTGCTTAATTCGTCATCCTCAATGTCGCTCTATAGCTCTTCTCTGCAATTTTGGCAGCCTTCTTTGTTTTAATTTTTTTTTATTCTTTCTCTCCGTTTTTCGACAGCTTTAGCTTTTTTTTTGCTTTTAGTTTTCTTTTTTTTCATAAATTTCCCGTCAGGCTTCAGATGAATTTGCGCTAGAAGACCGCCTCCCCCCCCTTTTTTTTGGCATTGTTTTTACCACCAAGCTAGTTTCATCGCCATTTAGATTTGAAGGGCTGCTCATAATATTTATATTTTTGGTTTATACTTTTTAAGTAGTTTTCCAGATTGTTAAACCATTTCACTATGCTCTCCTCAGTGACTTTCACCTTTGGTAAAATTTTCAATTTCTCTGATTGTTAATATCGGATTTTGTTTCACAAAGGGACGCATTAATGATTATCCTTTGAGCTCGTTTTTAAAAACTGTTTTTCTTTTAGTGCCTTAAATTAGTTTTTGCATAGTATTTAGGTTGGTGGTCTGTTTTAAGAGGAAGCAACATTTGCATGCTTTAATACACCATTGAACTATATGTGCATCTTTGACAGGCATTAAATATAAATCTAGACCAATTTTGGTTGATTGTTCTCTAATTCACGTGTTACCTTTTAATCGATCGAGTAGTTTTGTTGGCCGTAATCCATATTAGGCAGCTGCTTTCCGAATCATTAAGTTATTATTACGGATATCTGCGAGACCCTTAGCTAAAATACCTGCGTCCATTATTTAAACAAAACAAGGGGCATAGAAATTTTTTTATTGATAAATGAAGTTAATAAATTTCAATAAAAAAATATTTAGTATTAACGGAGTTGTAAAAATAAAACCGATTCAAATTACAAAAGAATACATTTGCTTATTCTAAAAAAGTTTATGATTCGTAGTAATGAATGATGAAAATTTATGAGTCGGTTTAAATTTAAGAATTTGGAATCATTTTATTGGCAATTTTTCAAGAAAATTTAAAAAAAAAATTAGTTTTAGTATTTTTTTATAACTCGCCCAATTTTATAAAAGTACAAACTGCATAAAAAAATTAAATAGTATAAATTTTCTTTAAAAAATCAGCACTTCTACATGCAATATTTTAAGTATTTTAATATAAATATTATGTTTATGGTAAAATAAGGTATTCTGATAATTAAATTTATTCAAATGTGTTATTTATTTAATGTACTATTAACTTTAAAATAGAATTAATTACATAAAAATTTGGTTGCTCGGATACTAAAATGTGCATAATTTTCATATCTTCAGAATCCGAACTAACTGTTCGGAAACTGAATATATAACAAAATTTCGGTTCTACTATCCGAGCAGCAAATACTTAGTTAAAAATTACTCTTCTTAACGTTTTATGATTTTTTTAAACAATATTAAGTAAATTTCAATGAAAATAATATATACTTATCACTAAATAGAACTTAAAATATAAAAAAAAAAACACTTACCCTCCACACACAGTAGTCATGGGCAATATCGTTCATTTCAGTGTTTCGTTCTGAACGAACTACTTTTTTTCACTGACCGATTATACAATTTCGTTCAATCGTTCATTTAGTTCACATCACTTCTGTATATATTATTGCATGTTTATACCAGTAGAACGTATGTTCGAAGGGTATACTAAATTTGGTTACCGTTTGTAACGCTAAGAAATAATGGTTAGAGATATAGACTTAAGTGTATGTTTTTTATCAGCGTCGAATTCTGAGTCGATTTAGTTTTCGTCCCAGCGACAACGTCCTAATCAAAAACTAACGCAACATCAAAAACTAATTAAGCTGTGTTTACCAAATTTTCACAAATGATTTATTGTAGTATCTGTCAGAACTCTATTTAAATTGGACATGATCGGTGTACTGGTTCGGGTAGCTGCCATACAACTTCAAAATTTATTTGACTGTATCTCAGAACCTATAAAAGCTGTGGTATTGAAATTTCACACAAACAAATATATTAGTAAGGCCAATGTGTTTGATAAAAGTCGTTGAAATTGCTAGACTCCTTTTAGTAGCTGCCAGATCACTTCAAAAGTTATTTGGCTATATCTCAGAAACTATAAGAGCTATGGTATTGAAATTTCTCACAAGCGAATATATTAGTAGAGCCAATGTGTTTGATAAAAATCGTTGATATTGCTTGGTTCCTTCTGATAGCTGTCATACAACTTCAAAAGTTATTTGGCATTATCTCAGAAGTTATCGAAATTATAATATAGAAATCTCATGAAAACAAGGGTGTTATTAGGGTTATTATGTGTGATAAAAATCATTGAAATTTTTTGGCTCGTTTCACATAGAAAGTATTGTAAACACAGTACTGAAATTTTACATAAATTAATATGGTAATATGAAGACTTAAAGTCTGTCCCATAGTCAGCTATGGCATATTTATTCGCACATAGGATAACAAATTCATACGGGTATCACAGAGTTGACACGGTCAATTCTATTTTTTCTGGTTTTTGGTTATAATTAGATGGCTATTCGTATTTATGGTAAATTTTCAAGAAAAGAATACATAATGAATTTGAAGAAATAAAAATTTTAAATTTATTATATCTTATAAGAAATTTGTAGAATAAAAATAGTTATAATTACATATCTTTATTTCTAATCCTCGAAAAAAAACTAAAATGCTATCCTAATTTTTTTAAACTTTTGCTTAATTAACTTTTATTTAAAATATTTAGGTGAAAAAGTGATCATAATTATTATCTTTTTTTAAATATTTTATGCATAAATATAAGACGTATGGTCAATGCTTTCTTTTTACCGACCGTATTGTGTAAACAATAGGTAGGTGATGTGATGGCAACAAATTTTGCATATCGAGTTTTCGATGTACACGTGTGTATCTCAAGTTCGGCTGAACCGTTTTGGATTAAATTTTATGTGCAAGTTGATTTTCACCATGGCACGGATTGATCAACTTTTGGTATATATCAGGCCTCGAGAACTGCACTTTTGAACATTTTGAAGAAAATATTCAACCGATTTACTTGAGATTTTATATATAAGCTCAGCTCGACCATCCGTGAAACCTTCTTACTTTTGGAAAAAAACAGGCGTCAACAACTGGGCGTTTGCTACGAGCCAAATATACTTTTTTGCGTATATGAAGAGAAATAACCAACCGATTTCATTGAAATTTAATATTTAAATTCTTCTTATTAAAACAATGAAAATTGGAGAAATTTTTTTTGGAAAGATCATGGCTTGAAAACTGATCTGCGGGCCGATTTTACATTTTTACCATATCTACGGAACGAATCGATGGAGTTTCTTGAAATTTGATATTTGAAATCTGGTTGTCACCGAAAATAACTGGCGAGCATTTCAGTGTATTCGGGTAGCACAAAGCGAAACTCTACTAAGAGCCAAATTTACATTTTTCTAGGTATGTTAACTATAAGCTTACTAATGTCCTAAAAATTGGAAAGAAGTATTTAACAGACATTTTTATAATATTCTGTAGCACTTTCACTTAATTAGACAATACACATTGCGGTCGGTTATGTGCTGACCACATCAGATTTTTTTTATTTCATACAGGTAGCTTTCAATTTGAATCAACTAGTCCAATCTTTCAATTTTTTTATTAAGGTAGATTTTTAATTTGGTCACTTTTATTTGAATTGCATTTATATTAGGCAATAGGCACGTGTGTCGTGAATTGGTCAATATTTGTAATTTGCTTTTATCAATATTGCATATGTCGTTTGTTTCTATTACTTTGTATATCGTTCAATTTTACTTGTATTGTATATATATTGGCAA